ACTCCTGGCAAGGGGTTAATTTTCTCCAAGTATGGCCATACGAATGTAGAAGGGTATACAGATGCTGATTGGGCAGGTTCAGCCACAGATAGGCGTTTGACATCTGGGTATTTTATGTTTGTGGGTGGCAATCTTGTTACGTGGAGGAGCAAGAAACAAAAGGTGGTGTCTAGATCTAGTGCTGAGGCCGAGTATCGGGGAATGGCCCATGGGGTATCTGAGTTACTATGGTTGAGGAGATTGTTGAAAGACCTTGGTTTTGGGCCTAATAAACCCATGGATTTATATTGTGACAATACGGCTGCGATTGCAATTGCTCATAATCCTGTACAACATGACCGTACAAAACATGTGGAGGTTGATCGAAATTTCATTAAAGAAAAGTTGGATGCGGAGATTGTGTCCTTCCCCTTCATCCGTTCAGAGTATCAGTTAGCTGATGTTCTTACGAAAGCTGTTTCTACAAGTATCTTTCTCAACTCGCTTGACAAGTTGGGCATGCGTGACGTCTTTGCTCCAACTTGAGGGGGAGTGTTGGCGAGTAGAATATATCCTATTCTATTTGGGTTTTATTTATTTTTCCTTTTGTATAGATATTATGTAATTAGGATTCCACTTATTTCCTAATTAAACCCTATTAGGGTTTGTAACCTGTATTATAAATACCTCCTTTCGGAGAATAAAATATATCTGAAAATATTCTACCCATATTGTTTGACTAATATTAAATGAATATTGAATACCTTCTCAGTAATGTGCGTGAGGCCGAAGCAAACAAGAGTTGAATGTGGGACATCCAATCAAAGCACTCACTTCTATCATTTTCATCTCATGAACAATTAAAACTTCAACTCCAAAGTCAAGAGACAAAGAATTTGACTCAAGTGTGAAAACCCCAAATGTCTTCCCAAACCGTCTTCTGATTAAGAAAATAAGATACTGGAAGGACCTTTCAAAGTCTTGAACTCTGAAGACTCCCAAGTATTATAATAAAATCATGATAGCTAATGAATATATGGCACTATAAATAATGAGACTCACAAGTATTATAATAAAATACACAAAACAATATTTTATAATACAACCATGATATCTTTTAATTTCTATAAAGTATGCTCTCTAGCTTCTTGCCTTCTCTTGTATGTTCAGCTGCTTTCATCATCAAATTACCTTCAATTGGCTTCTGCTAGTTCTACTGGTGAGGCAGAGGCTCTTCTCAAATGGAAAGCCACCTTTCAAAATCAAACCCAAAACAATCTGTCCTCATGGGCTTACCCTCCCAGTAATGCCACCAACAATCCTCAAATCCCGTGTACTTGGGCTGGTGCTTCATGCAATGCTGCTGGAAGTGTCATCAAGATAAACCTTACCGAGTCTGGTTTACAAGGTACGCTAAATGCATTTTCATTCTTGTCCTTCCCTAATCTTGAATATCTTGATCTCAGCTTCAACAAACTCTTTGATGCCATTCCACCTCAAATTAGTTACCTTTCCAAACTAAACTATCTTGATCTCTCTCTAAATCAGTTTTCTGGGACAATCCCACCAGAAATCGGTCTCCTGAGAAATCTTACCTTTCTCAGTCTCTCTAGGAACACATTTTTGGGAGATATTCCCCACCAGATGGGCAACTTGAAATGTCTTGTGAAGCTATATTTGTCTAAGAATCAACTGAAAGGTTCAATTCCAGGATCACTAGGTGATCTAACAAGCCTTACCCATCTTTATCTCTTTGGAAATGAACTTTCTGGTTCTCTTCCTAAGGAGATAGGGAATTTGAAATATCTTGTTCATTTAAGGTTGGACAATAATCAACTCAATGGTTCGATTCCAAGATCACTAGCTGAGCTAACAAGCCTTACCCTTTTTTTTTTACATCGCAATCAACTTTCTGGTTATATTCCTAAGGAGATAGGGAATTTGAAATATCTTGTGCAGTTAAGGTTGGGCAATAATCAACTCAATGGTTCAATTCCAAGATCACTAGCTGAGCTAACAAGCCTTACCTATGTTTCTTTACATGACAATCAACTTTCTGGTTCCATTCCTAAGGAGATAGGGAATTTGAAATGTCTTGTGTATTTAAGGTTGGACAATAATCAACTCAATGGTTCAATTCCAAGATCACTAGCTGAGCTAACAAGCCTTACCTATGTTTCTTTACATGACAATCAACTTTCTGGTTCTATTCCTAAGGAGATAGGGAATTTGAAATGTCTTGTGCATTTAAGGTTGGACAATAATCAACTCAATGGTTCAATTCCAAGATCACTAGCTGATCTAACAAGCCTTACCAATGTTTCTTTAGGTCAGAATCAACTTTCTGGTTCTATTCCTAAGAAGATAGGGAATTTGAAATTTCTTGTGCGTTTAAGGTTGGGCAATAATAAACTCAATGGTTCAATTCCAAGATCACTAGCTGATCTAACAAGCCTTACCTATGTTTCTTTACATCACAATCAACTTTCTGGTTCTATTCCTAACGAGATAGGAAATTTGAAATATCTTGTGCATCTATTTTTGGGAAGTAATAAACTCAATGGTTCAATTCCTGTTTCATTTGGTGACCTCAGCAACTTGGAAAGCTTATACCTAGAGCATAACCAACTTTCCGGCCCCATTCCCCAAGAGATTGGGAATCTCAAAAAGTTGAGACTCTTGCTTTTGTATAAAAACCAATTTTCTGGTTATTTGCCCCAAAATATTTGCCAAGGTGGAAAACTGGCATACTTTATAGCAAGCAACAACCATTTCACTGGTCCAATCCCAAAAGGCTTGAAAACCTGCATGAGCTTAGCCCGACTTCGTCTTCAACGAAATCAATTGACAAGCAATATATCTGAGGACTTTGGAGTTTATCCAAATCTTAATTTTATAGATGTAAGCCACAATAACATGTACGGTGAAATCTCACAAAATTGGGGACAATGCCCACGGTTGGCAACTCTACAAATGGCAGGAAACAACATTACTGGAAGCATACCACTTGAGATAGGCAACGCAACCCAAATTCATGTGTTGGATCTGTCTTCAAATCATTTAGTTGGGGTGATTCCAAAGGAATTCAGGAGACTGGCTTCTTTGGTGAAGTTGATGTTAAACGGAAATCAACTTTCAGGTCCTATACCCTCAGAATTTGGATCCATGACTGATCTTGGATATCTTGACCTATCAACAAACAAATTCAATGAGTCAATTCCGAGCATTCTAGGTGACTTGCTCAAATTATACCATCTGAATTTGAGCAACAACAAATTATCTCAACCAATCCCACATCACTTGGGGAACTTAGTTCATTTGACCAACCTTGATTTTAGTCACAACTCACTTGAAGGTAGGACACCATCAGAAATGAGCAACATGCAGAGTTTGATGACGCTCAATCTTTCCCACAACAATCTTTCGGGTTCCATACCATCAACTTTCAAAGAGATGCGCGGTTTGTCGAACGTTGACATATCCTACAATCACTTGGAAGGTCCCCTTCCCAACATCAGCGCATTTCGAGAAGCTCCGTCAGAAGTATTAAAAGGGAACAAAGGATTGTGTGGCATAGTTGGAGGTTTGTCACCATGCAATAAAAGTGGCTCAAAAAAGGACCATAAGTTAATATTTTCTCTTGTAGCAGTAATTGTACTTCTATATGGTTTCTTTACGACCATTTTTCTAGTGAAAAGAAAGAAGAAGCATCAGGATAAAGCACAAAAAAACATGCATGAAGAAATTTCCTTTTCAGTTTTAAATTTTGATGGAAAGTCAATGTATGAGGAAATCATAAAGGCAACAAAAGATTTTGATCCCACATATTGCATCGGGAAGGGAGGACATGGAAGCGTTTACATAGCAAGTTTGCCATCTGCCAATGTAGTGGCTGTGAAGAAACTCCATCTGTTGCAAAATGATGAGAAGAATCCTCATAACGGGTTCTTAAATGAAGTAAGGGCACTAACAGAGATACGGCATCGGAACATTGTGAAACTCTATGGTTTTTGTGCCCATAAACGACATTTGTTTTTGGTGTATGAGTATCTTGAAAGAGGTAGCTTGGCCGCAATGTTGAGCAAAGATGAAGAAGCTAAAGAGTTGGGGTGGAGTAAACGAGTAAATATTGTTAAAGGTTAGCTCATGCCTTGTCTTACATGCACCACGATTGCTTGCCACCGATTGTACATCGTGACATATCAAGCAATAACATTTTGTTGGATTCTGAATATGAAGCCTATGTTTCAGACTTCGGTACTTCTAAGTTTTTGAACCCAGACTCAACTAATTGGACTGATGCTGTAGGCACATATGGCTACATGGCACCAGGTAATATTTTCATCTCTATTCTCTGTATTTAAAACTTTTTATGCATTTGTTTTTACACCAATGTTTCATTTTCGTCATTGGGAGGGGTTAACATAAACACATCCAGCTTTCATTAAATTCCGTTTTTGTTAAGCTGGTTTTATTAGGTTTCAAAAAGAACTAAATTTCTTGAATCTGTAGGTGGTGTTTTTCAATGATTTTTATTGGATTGGAAATTAGAAATTAATCACCCTGCACTCTCTTGTTTATAAGAGGTAATCTTTTGAGCACTGAAATCTCAATGTTTTGTATGTGGTGTGTGATTTATGCAGAGCTTGCATATACAATGGAAGTGAATGAGAAGTGCGATGTTTATAGCTTTGGAGTTGTCACATTGGAAATAATTATGGGAAGCCATCCTGGAGATGTTTTCTCATCTTTATCAACTGGGGCGTCATCGTCATCCGCATCTGCATCAGCTGGCCCTGAAATGCCAATTTCGGATGTTCTGGATCAACGCATCTCTCCACCCACAAAACAAGAAGCGGGGGAAGTGGTTTCTTTGGTGAAGATAGCATTTGCATCCTTGAATCCCAGTCCACAATCTCGTCCAACAATGACAAAAGTTTGCCAGCTCCTCTCATCAACTCAGACGTTGCATTTGTCAAAGCCATTGCATATGACAACATGTGGTGAATTGCTTGCTCTTGGTGGTTTCACTACCTGATCAGGATATTTGCCGCTTTTCTATATTTCACTTCATTTCTGTTTGTCTTGTTCTAATTCTTCCTAGATGTATTGGGAAGGGAGGGCATGGAAGTGTCTACAGAGCAAGTTTAACTTAGGTGCAGCTGCAAAGTCAAATAAACACGCATTCCCCCAGATTATGTTCCTTTGTAATTTTAATAAAAGGGTTTTCTCTTGTAATTCGTAACAAGGGTTGTAATTAAGAAATGCATCATCTCGAATGGGTCGAACCTTAAATAAATAATAAAACCCCATTACTTAGGTAGTGGTGGTGAAATTATGTTGGAGACTCACATTTTCCCTCAACAATTCATGTGCAAGAAGACCTCATAGCAATATTTTGGTTTGTTCGGTTTTGTCTTTAAGGCCATCTCCAACTATGTTGGGATAAACTCATATTTGCCCCCTCTAAAATACAACTATTCATGTATTGCTCAAACTCAAACTGTTCTTTTGTCCAACCATGCAGACTCATAATTTGAGTCCACAGTTTTATTAAATTGCTTAAGAATGATTAATCTCTTCTTCTTTTTTTGTCGTTAATTTTTCTTGATATTATTTTTGTTTCAACATTCATGATTTAATTTTCTGAACATTTTAATCTTAAAAAATCTAAATTCTAAAAAAAAGGACCTGTGGTTCAAACATAACCGTTGGATTGCAATGAGGAGAGGCGCACACGTCCTAGACAAAAAAGGGTTGAAAGCTAATGCAGCCAGACAGTGGGCTCCACCATCACGTGGGTTGTTTGCAGCTTGCTTTTTGGGCTCCACCGAATTTAGATCCAGGCAATAGAAGGGCGCTATTCCGCCTGAGCTTTTGCCTGAATTGGTTTTAGGGCCCGCTTGTATATACTTGGTTGGAGAAGATTTTCAGGCTAAAACCCAAAGTATATATTTGAAGTATGTTTTTATGTCATAATTTAATGGTTTTTTTTTTGTTTTAGCGTGGGAAGGATGTTGGGTTTGTGTGGAAGTATGCTCCTCTTCGATTGGCATTCATCGAGGGGAAAGGGTGAATGGTATGACTTTTCTGTTTTCTAAAAATTCTTTTAGGGGCCTTCGTTAGTAGTGGGAGAATACAATTTTTTCATGAAAACTTCAATGAATTCCTTATTAAAAGTCAGGATTCTAATTAGAAAGCACACACATTATACTGAATCAAGATGATCTGTTCTTGTATGTCGAGAGCTTCATCTTTGTTACATCTATGTACATTGCACAATACTATTTCAATGACAAGTGTGTTTCAATTGTTATGTCTTGAAAGCAACTCATAAGATGGCACCTTTATTTTTTAATTTTTTTTTTTTATGAGGAGATGGTACCATTTAACTAGGCTAACAAAGGAAGGTACATATAATATAAATTTTTAATGCGTTGGACGTTGCACCCCAAACTACACTCCAAGTTAAGACAAGTTTTCTCCTTAAGATCCAAAAAAAAAAAAAAAAAAAAAAAAAAAAAAAAAAAAAAAAAAAAAAAAAAAAAAAAAAAAAAAAAAAAAAAAAAAAAAAAAACACTCGAGTCTCTTATGGAGAGAAACTTTCCCTCTTCTTAAGTCGACAACATCTTGATCTGCTATTGATTCCCCCATTTGAAACAAGTCATTTTCAAAATACATTAGCACATATTTCCTAAATAATGATTTGAACGAGAAGTAGTAGAGAGAGACCAGATTACCAGATGATTAAGTTTCAAAAGGACTTTGGATGATCCTAGCCGAAGTAGTAGAGATAAACCTTGTGTAAGCTTTTATTTCTCCTTTTGCCCCCCATTGCATGCATAGTCCCAAAGTGCTTTGATCTCAAAGAGGCAAAGTTCTGATACAATCCCGATCTCTTGGACCACAGGGGTCTAAGAGATTTGTGGTCACTCACCGTTGGATGTAAATTCAACGGTTCACTCACTCTTGCACTCCTTTTAAGAAATTTTTTTGAACCATTGGATTAATATCCAACGGTAGGTGACCACAATTTCTTGGACTCCTGTGGTCCAAGAGATCAGGATTGAGTTCTGATAATATGATTATTGCATTTGAGACTATGCAATGAGGAGATTATACATGCAATTTTGAACTCATTAACAAAGTGGGAATAGCCATTGATAATAAATTGGTGCTACTATACCCAATTGTCATTGACAAAGTCAAATAATTTTTTTTATTAAAATAAAAGTACTATATAGTTATATTTACAACATTTTTGGAGGACATTGGCCGACATTGGTATTATCAGATTTTTTTAATTAAAAAATTGGTATTAATAATAAAAATATATATAAAAAAAGGTTAGGCGTGTTAAAATAAGGTTTCAGCCTTAACATGCCAAATACATAAATATCCCTAATTGATTCTAAAGCCTGTTAGCATGATATAAATAGTTATTATTATCTATATATATAAAGCAAAAAACAAAGAATGGTGAAACATTCAAAATACCAGAAAATGCCCTTGGTTAATGCAAACATTAAGAATTGAAATTATTAATTAAATGAGGATAATATGGTAAATTCACACTTTTTCATATTAAAAAAATTTAAAATTAAAAGAAAAATCAAATAATGGATCCTCTTTTTATGGAACACAACTACCCATTATCTTTTTTAATTCTAAAATAAATTTAAATTTTTTTAAATATGAACAAATCTAGCCCTATTCGGACCTAGACCTTTATCTTAGGTCCGAATGACAAATTTAAAAAGTGTGAGGGCGGGAAATTAAATTAAACTATCGAAACATTCATAATATATAAAGGCGATTATATAACAAATACTTAATGAAGCAGTTAAAATAAATTTAGAAATCTCTTTATCTAATTTTAACTTGACAGCAAAAGGAAGATGAGAGTTCTGAATTTATCCATTTCACTAATTCAAAATATAAATTACAATGCAAGGAAGGATTGGAGATTTCTCTATCCAATTGGATGGATACATTAATTCAAACTGATTGTTTAAGAAGAAAATCACACCATGAAGATGGCAGAGCAACAAAAGATGAACGCATGAGTTGTCAACTGGTTATTTGGAAATTAAGCAGGCTGATTTGAAAATATCTTTAGTTTTTTCAAGTGTTTTCGAGACATTGCGTCTAATTTGGAGAGAGAGTCCTCTTCTTTTGTGGTGGAGGCCCTTTATTTATAGGCAAGGAGAGAGTTTCAATGATGAAAATTGAAAAAGGATATTTGGTTGCTATCCAAAGTCAGATATTGATCTGTTGATCTGGATCGGTTCATAGGCTGAGTGATGAGATGTTTTTGACAAGACCGCTGGTCCCTAGAGATATTCCCCTTACTTGAGTCTTTTGTACCCAGAAATCTGGTTGGTAATTTGCCTCCTTCTGGTTCTGGTGGCTTTTGTCCAGCTTGCTTTCTTGTTAAGCGAGAAGAAGGTCAAGTCATCATTAATGGTGACAATCTTCTTCAGACCCTCACGTGGGTCAATGTACAACGGTTACCGATCTTTTTAACTTTTAGTCTGATCCAAAGGCTTGGGCCTTCTGACTTTGTGGGCTTCTATTAACTTCCTTTTTCTATTGACGGCCCACTAGGCAAAAGGATTTCTATTGTATTTAAAGAAAAAAGAAAGATATTGG